CATAAACACATTTCATTACACCAAATACACAAAAGAATGTTCTTTTTAGCAGCATCATATGACCCCTTTAATGTCACTTTGGATCAATTTACAAAAACAAAGAACAACAAAATCAAATCCTACTGACCCTCAATTTTCAAAGAGTCAAGATTATAATTTGAAGCCTGACAAACTTCTTTTTGCGAAAGAAATATTGTTCATGAAACATTATAAATTCCACTTGTTTTGATATTTGGTTACATAATGCACAGAAATTCATGTATTTTACAATGTGGCTTTAAGGGATAGTTTTCCTAGAAATGATAAAATAGTAATTATTTTCTTCTGTGGAACACAAAAGAAGATATTGAGATATTTTGAAGAACTGTTTTTGTCCATTGGACCCCATCACATTTCATTCACAGAAAAAAAAATAAGAAACAGAGGTTTGAAACAACATGATAGTGAGTAATTGATAACAGCATTTTAAATGACTGAAATTAAAAATACTTTTGGAGCCACTGTAAAACTACAGAGCACAACTGATAAACTGAATAGACTATTAAAAAATATCAAAGTTTGAGGGGGGAAAAAAAATAAAAAATCACACACACTGGTGAGCATCCTCACAACCCCTCACTGAGCCAGAAAGAGACAACACTGAGGCGCATCTGGTCTCCAAATGTAGTAACTGACCCAATATGCCTCCCTCTCTCTATTTCTCCTCCACCATTCATTATTTACTCAGCAGTCAGGCGGCTCGTCGCCTGGGATCGGCTGCCTCAGCTCAGTGCTTCTTCACTAGCCTCCGCTCAAGTAGAGCAGCACCCACGTGACAAAAATAAATAAGGAAATAGATGCAGATGTGGGGCACACTGGCCTGCCAAAAGAAAATGACATCAGCCAAGACCCAGAGCCAAGTCCCAGTCTGCTGTCTCTTCTCAAGTAGCCTTTGCACTAGCACTGTAACACACTTCTTTTTCTCTTTCTCTTCATGCTGGAGATTGAGGGTCCCCAGTGGGAGGCGAGTGTGATTGTGAGGGGATTTTAGGGGCTCAGATGAGTATGCCGTCCATGTGATGTGCATTAGCGATGACATGTACCTCCAGAAGGAGGTAATGCGATCCCTCATGTAAAAGAGAAGATCACTTCCGGCCTGCCATCTCCAGCGAGGGACTTATGCTGGGGAAAGCTGACTCACTGAGCTGATGCAGAGAGTTTATCGTATTTTAGCACAGGGGTTTTCAAACTGCGGTCC